AATAAAACTCCTTATAATAATTACTAACACTACCAGCAATCTAATTGAATTATGTTAATGTTTTTTGTTTCGACTAATAATAATAAAATGTACAGCGGATGCTTATAAAATTGTACTGTACAGTACGGTATTACTTTCTTTTATCAATTTTCACTTTTCAAATATCTGTGAAACTAACAGTATGTGCTAAATTGAAAAATGGTTCCTACAAAAGTTGCTTATATTTTTACGAGAAATAAGAATAAAAAATAAAAAATATAGATTTCCATTTAAAAATATTAGATTGATCTTTAAATGACCTTGAAAATATTCTCCAAATAAAACATAAATCATGCAATTCGCTTTCCCCCTTAAAGTCAATTTACTTTTATTTAAAACATTTCTTTCTCCAACGCTTCGTTTTTGAGATATTTCACATTATCAACTTAAATGGTTCACCCTGTATAAGTGAAACAACTAACGGGTTGATAAAAATCGCGGACGACGCGCAGCAACACGTAGCCTCGTTACACGCGCTAGGAGTCGATATTAATAGTGAGATCGTGGTGCATGTTTTGAAAAGTAAGATACCAAAGGTCACATTAGACAAATGGGAGGCTACACTTGATCGTGACGAATTCCCAAAGGTAGATCAGATCTACGAATTTTTATATAAAATGGCAGTGTGCGCCTCGAAACGAGAGCGTATAAAGGCGGGGGAGACGCAAGGAAGATCGTGCGAGGTCGCAATTAAAAAGAGATATCCCGACGCCGCGAACAAAGCGTTTGTAATAAATACGGCACGTGGTTGCATTATATGTAAGAATAAGAAACCTTTGTTCTTATGCGATAGATTTAAGGCGCTCTCGGTTGTGGATCGGATTGAGACCGTGAGAAAGGCAAAGATGAAAAAAATTTGCTACCCACACAATGGGCATTGAGCAAAATCGTGGAAGTACATCCCGGAGAGGACGGAACCATAGGAGAACAAAATACATGTCCTCTTCCTGTCGATACGTAATGACAAACGATACGATTGTACTATAATTGTACTTATAATTCTATTTGTTTTTACAGTCAAAATATAAGCGAATTATATAATCAGGGCGCATGAACACAATCACGACTCAGGCATGCACATGAATGTTATGGAAAACCAGTTAACATGACCTAAGGCGTCGTCGTGAACCACAACTCCGACAACATTCTCTTAGCGTAGTTGAAAAAAAAACGACTTAGAGATGCTGTCCAGGCGTTGTTGTGGGTAAATCATGCAGAAACCAGCTCTAACGCTATTTCATACGCGTAGCCACTACGTATACGGTGATAAATGTTGATCGATACCTCTCAACGGGGGGAGGATGTAGTGGCGATGAGATATGCGAATCGTGCACGACTTATACGTATGCGAACCCGATCATAATAAACAAAGCGTTATAATGTACACGTACAGATTTTCCGTCGTGCGGACGGTCAACGACATTATACAAATGCGTCACGAGAGTATCAATATGTATATCGGCTCGGCGGCGCAATCAAGTAAACGATGCGATCCGCGGTACATCTAAGGATGCCGAATCACAGCCGGACGGGGCCAACGTAATTGGCCAAAGACAAACCAATAGTTTTAAACATGCAGTCAGGGGGACTGATGAGACGTCATTAGAATAAGCAAGAGAAGGGATAACGGACCCTAGAAGAAAGGGAACGATTGTCTGTGCGGACAGTTCTGTTCTGATTTTAGCGTACTAAGCTACAAGTAGCTAACGATTAGAGTCATATCGAAATATAAAAGCGCAGTATATACGGAATTGTAGTTTGTGAATTAAATAATAATAAAGACAATATAAAACATGTCAGGCGGGCTGATGAGACGTCATTAGAATAAGCAAGAGAAGGGATAACGGACCCTAGAAGAAAGGGAACGATTGTCTGTGCGGACAGTTCTGTTCTGATTTTAGCGTACTAAGCTACAAGTAGCTAACGATTAGAGTCATATCAAAATATAAAAGCGCAGTATACACGGAATTGTAGTTCGTGAATTAAGTAATAATAAATACAATATAAAACATTTACAAAATTACAATGTAATTGAATTGGAATACATCAATCACATAACAAATTTCGATTTCCAAACATAACAAAAAGCGAGAATACCTCGAAATAAAGAAAGAGTCTAATTACCTAAAAATAAAAATAAGGTCGAGGAAAGATGGAGAGAAACGAGGCAATGCGCGGCCTCGAGAACAGAGAGAATTTGACTCGCGTTCGCGTAACACACTTTGTTTCCTGGCGAAAAGTTAAAGTTTGTATCAGATCCTTTGTTAAACGAATAAACGAAGTAAAATATATACTGTGTAAACCCAAATTAATATTTCGTATAAATTTCCTCTCCCAATCCGCAGCAACGGCGAAATATAATTGACGGACAAAAACGCGCCTAAAAAAACAAAAACTTACAGAAATTATTCTTGTCTTCCACTACTGTTCACATTTTTATACGTATTATCACCGAGATTACAAAACACAAATCCGTAAAGAAGTAAAGAAACCATGTGTGCTTTAAAGCAAATAATATCGCGAACGGAGAGGGTCACTTATATATATGTATTGAAAATAGACAAACGACAACCCTAACGATACATTAAAATGAAATAAATATTTAAAAGAGTCGTCGATAAATACAAGGATATTATAAACCTAAAATAAATAGTCATAAAGTAACAAAAAGTCAAAAAGTTTATTGACATATATAACCACATAAAAACTATCATTAGTCTATAAAAAAAACGCAAACGAATAATATGATTATAAATAAAAATTGTCTAAATTACACAGGTTAAACTCAAAAATAAAAATTAAAAAGAAGCCGCGAAATAGTATAATACAAAGACAATTCTATATGAAAAAATATGTCAAACTTATAAAATGTGTAATTTATAATTTAGAAAGTTTGTTAATTACAGTCAAATGAGTGTCAGGCAAAAGCTCTGTATCCGTTTGTAAGTTTATACTCATATTTTGCTTCTTAATAAATAACATTTCAGATGTTAGTCGTTTAGTTAACACAGGTTCCTTATCCAACACTTTCACTTCATCTCATTTAAAATCATAGTCAAATTCTAGTCTATGATCGGTGATGACGGAACGATTTGCTGAGTTCCACCTGATGTGATTCTCATGCTCTTTGATTCTAGTCTGCAATTGTCCACTTGTTTGTCCTACGTAAGAGGCATCTCAGTCTTTACAATCTATTTTATAAACTACATTAGACTTGTTAGCATTTTTAATAAGATCAATCAAAATTAATATTGGACGCTAGTGGTGAAAATAAACTTGGCAGACTTGATTTCGACGTAACTAGCAATTTTATTCAATACTTTCACGACGTTTCGACCATTTGGTTGTGGTCCTTATCAAGTGAAAATTCCATCAATTAAAATGAGATTAACGCAACATAACACCGGTCTTATTTAAAATTAATAGTTAAAAGAGGACGAAACATCATAGCGATGGGACGTGTTCCTCTTTTAACTATTAATTTTAAATAAGACCGGTGTTATGTTGCGTTAATCTCATTTCTCAGGACGAAACATCATAGCGATGGGACGTGTTCCTCTTTTAACTATTAATTTTAAATAAGACCGGTGTTATGTTGCGTTAATCTCATTTTAATTGATGGAATTTTCACTTGATAAGGACCACAACCAAATGGTCGAAACGTCGTGAAAGTATTGAATAAAATTGCTAGTTACGTTGAAATCAAGTTTACCAAGTTTATTTTTAATAAGGTCTTTATGTACTTTAATGAGGCTATTCATTTTATTTAAGCCGGTATCTGTGATTTATTTTCTTTCCAATACTATATATATATAATGTATGAATTCATTTTCTTTCCAATACTATAAATATATGTAATGTATAAATTCGACATTCTATGCAGATATTACTTTATAAAAATTTTTTCATCATAAATATTTTTAAACAAGCACTTCACATACATAAAATAATGTAAAAAATAGACATACCATATACAAAATTAAAGTTTGAAAAAAATGTTTAGGTATATAAAACATTACAGTTTATTGTCATTTGTACGCGCGATTTGTTTAATATTAAGAGATAAGACAGATCCTCAATTTCACATACCTGTCGTAATGTCAAATTGAAATCGGACTATCTCTTAGCGAATTCGGTCGGATGCACTAGTGCACACTGAGTGCATATAAAGGTATATCACACATACATTCACAATGACACAAGTAATTAAAAAAGGAAAATGATTAATAGTAAGAGCTATTATTATTGTTGCTCAATGTGAATAATGCGATAATAATAGCTCTTACTATTAATCATTTTCCTTTTTTTAATTACTTGTGTCATTGTGAACTTGTGTGTGATAAACTTTATATGTGTCAGTGTGCACTAGTGCATCCGACCGAAGATAATATTACTGTAATTTGTACAGGAAAAAGATTTATCAATCTGTATAATCTCATATATCTTGATTACAAAATTATGAATTTGCAAGAATAATTCATAATTCTTAAGAATTTGTAATTCTTTAACCAAGATATATAAAATTATACAGACTAATAAATCTTTTTCCTGTACAAATTAAAGTATTATATTAATAAAACGTTTTAATTTCAAGTTAAAAACAATCTGTTTAGCCAATAAATATTGGCATAAATAGATTTATAGTTTATCTAACCTCATATATTTTGTATATAAAAAGGAAAAAAACAGACTTCTCAAGGACGTTTAGGATCCCCTTAATTACGTGAATTGTACAATTGTTGGGGATAATTGCACAAGCAAATTGTGCGATTAAATTTGTGAGAACAGCGAACAGTATGTTGATGCGTGCAAAGATTGCATAATATGTCCATTACGTGACTGAAATTTAATATTGCATAACAAAGTGATAGAAAATTATGTATCTCTTTCCCCACTCCTGGAACAAAAGCGGGCTTAATAAATCCAGACAAATACTTCAGAAGAACATTTGAAGAATTTTATTTAAGACGTAAACTTTTTCTTCGTGATTCTTCAAAGTGATCGTGTTTTCGAAAACTTAAAGATCACAAATATCATCGTTAAAAAAGCATGTAAGTGAAAAGGAACGTGTTGTGTATTTGTTATATTTATTATTGTATTTTTTATGCAAAAATATTTTTAATAGCATTATATTTAGAATGTGCATATTTAAAATAAGATATTTAAATTGTGTAAAAATTAATTGAAAAATGTCACAGCACATGAAAATGTCGAGATTATAATATAGTACACATTATGAAAGCAACAGAGGTGAAACATGAACTTTAAACGGAGAATTTACGCGTTTGAAGCTATATCAAATTATAAAGTTTTTAAATTTCTACTTAAATAATATGAAATTATAAAATATTATACGTTATAAATAATTAAAAATAAAATATTATACGTCAAATTTGCATTCTGAGAATATAAATTTGCATTTTTCGAATACAAATTTAGTATATATGGATCAGAATTAGACAATTTTAATAATTTAATATGTAAATATATGGCTTTAAACTCGCAAATTCTACTTTAAATTTTTAAATAAAAATTGGATTTGCCATTTTTCGAATACGCTCATATTTTTGCAACTAATAATTTTGATATGATTTGGCTATAAATGCCCTAGCGCAATTAATAAGATACAATATTAAAAAAAATTGAAATAATATATAAAAATAAGATAATAAATACATACATACATACATACATACATACATATATATATATATATATATATATATATATCAATTAAAATATTAATGATAAATGGGAACATATTGAAAAAATACTAGAATACCAAAAAGTGAGTTTATACCAGGTATAAAATTCATTTTGACATCCACTTTTTTTACATTTAATGACACAATTTATAAACAGACTTTTGGGACCCCGATGGGGTCTCCATTATCACCAATTATAGCTGATTTGATCATGCAGGATCTAGAGGACACGGTTTTTAAATTTAAAATGCACGTTTTATTTCCGTTACGTAGATGATATAATACTGACCATTTCTACGACCAATATGAGTCGGATAATCAGTAATTTTAACAATTATCATGATAAACTAAAATTTACAGTAGAACGGGAGGTTAACCGCAGCTTGAATTTCTTAGATTTATCAATAAAAATTATGAACAATACAATATATATAGATTGGTACCAAAAAGAAACCTTCTCAGGAAAAACTTTATTATTTTTTTTCTAATCATCCACAATGTCACAAAATTGGAATAATTTATAATTTAGTAGATAGATGTTTGCTATTATCACACCCACAATTTTTTAATAAAAACTTAGAGGTAGTTATTAACATACTAATAAGCAACGGTTACCCACTGGATCTTATTTTTAACAAAATCAATCATTGAATAGGATACCTCATTGCTAAAAAAAGCATTACAGAAAGACAAACAAACATAGAAAAAACAAAAAATACAGTAAAAGAATTAGCAACTAAAAAATTATTTGTTATTCCATATATAAATAGGATTTCTGAAATGATTGTCTCCTCGATAAAAAATACAGAATTTTTAGTAGGATATGAATGCCTTAACAAACTTGATAAAATTATTAAAACACAAAAAGATAAAATTAAACATCCTTGTAATTCTAATGTAGTTTACAAGATTAATTGCAATAATTGTAATGCATGTTATGTGGGCCAAACAAAGAGACAATTACAGACGAGATTGAAAAAACACGAAAATAATATCAAGTTGGATTCGATGAGACACTCGGTAATTTCGGAACATATAATAAAAGAACACCATACATTCAACTGGGATAATGTATTAATTATGAATAAGGAAATTAATTATACAAAAGACTCATCTCAGAGATGTTACATATTAAAAAACAAAAAAAATGGGTTAAATTTAAATAAAGACGCTGAGTTACTCAGCAAATCCTATTATGATATTTTAGACAAATTAGCAAACACAAAATAATAATAAGACAAATAGGACATCAACAGTTTAGGCAAATCTATCCGATCATATATAAACACACATAATTTGCGATTAAATACAGTTCAAAATAAGGTGTCTTGTTAGACTGTTAGTTTCCTTTTTTTTATATTTTCAATTTAAAAAAAAAACTGGTGTTAAAACTGTGAAAAGAAGCGACATAAAGTAAGCATAATAAAATCATGTAAGGACTTTTTATTTATTAGTGGACATGCGTTAATCGTTATTTATTTGTTAAGCACGGCGCCTATGGATATTAAGAATTTTTCACTTAGAAACGAAGAAATAATTTACGAGATCCGACTAACATCATAAGATCACATCACGGCGAATACATTTATAAATTAAATATGACAAATTGAAACACGCATAAATTTCTTATAAATTCTCGACTCGAAGTAACGGACTAATAGTAATTTTTTAAGAATATTATAATTTATTTTTTTTGTAAGAATTATAAAGTACTTAACATTGTTATACTGAAGAAGACCGCGTGCGGTTGAAACGTTTATATATATGTAGGGTTTGTTTTGTATTTTTAATATATTGTTTATTGTCTGAGATATATATAGAATAAATTTTAATTGGATACAACATCTTATATATTACAGATAAAAATCCTTAAGGTTTGCCAGTAATAATTAATAAAAATCTTTCCTCAATGGTAAAAGTCGACCAAACTGGCAATCATTTATTGTAGATAATTAGTTAAAATACAACGTTTCGGCTGTCATTGCAGCCCTTTTCAAGTAAATCAAAAGTAAATGCAATATAAATTAATACAGTAAATCAAATTCACTGCATACCTCCGACAACATTCACCATTGTTTTAATGAACAATGTAAAATTGACAAAAGTAAGCAAGGAATAAAAAGATGTTAACCGTTAGCAAGGAATAAAAAGATGTTAACAGTTAGCAAGAATCTTAGTCACTATCTTATATATTGCTCGATAAGTTGGCCTTTTTTGAATACATTGTTGTTATATATATATATATATATATATATATATATATATATATTATATTATATATATATATAACAACAATATATATATATATATATATATATATATAACAATAATATATATATATATAACAATACGTATATATATATACGGAGGCTCATACAAAGAGGTGCCGTGTATATGGGGATAATGCCTTAATAAATCGCGTATGCCAAAAATAGTTTGCCGAATACCGTTTTGGAGATCCGACGTCAATGATGCGCCCCGCTTCAGTCGCCCAACCGAAATTGATTTAAGACTATTATCGTTTTACGATCCTGGAATAATAAAGTTGATAAAAAATGAGAAGAGGTCATCGATAAAAATAGTTGATACATAATTGATTAAAATTTATTTTTATCGATGACCTCTTGTCATTTTTTCATCAATTTTATTATTCCGCGTTCGTAAAACGATAATAGTCTTTAATCAATCCCGCTCCAGTCGCCCGACCGAGAATACGGATGTTAATCAAACCGAAATTCGCAAAAAGTTATGTGAAACATATCTCTTTCAAATGCGTATTCGAGTTGCGCGATAGCATCGAGAAAAAAAGAGTAAATTAGAATAAACTTGCACCGAACCGAAAACCGAACAAACTTATTTGCCAATTCACTATACATATATAGGGTATCTGACATAGTGTCACACCGAAAATATACAAGTAAATCTTATTATTTGGAGACAATTTTTTCTTAGCAAAAATATTGAGGCATCAATAATTTTCGAGTTATGAGCAATTGAAAATAAAAGGTTTTTCGCAAACTAAGCCTCATGGAAATATAATATTAAAATAAATTTCATAAAAGGCTGTTAAGAGCAGTAAACATAAAAATTCAAATTATGTTAGAAAGCGAAGTCATATATAAAAATAATATTCTTTAATCTAATGTCTAATAATGAATTACAATAAAAGGTGACAAAAAATAATTAAACATAAGTACTTTTTAAATATAAATACAAAGCGAACGTTTCGGTTAATATTTCGACCATTATCAACGCTGATTAAATTCTGAATTTAAAAACTAATAAACGGTATCATAACGGTAATATATACATCAAGCATAGTTAAAAACGTCATAGAGTATGTAACGCATTAAAAATACAATGATAGATATAATGATTGACAAATATGTATTCATTTTTGTCTAAAGCAACAGTGACATTACCTTTATCAGCTTTGGTCAAAATGAGATTTGGGTTACTTGGGGAGAGCATACGGCCTTCCGAAGATCCATAAAAATAATTGTCCATTCAGAATTATAGTCTCCTCAATTAATAGTCCACTCTACGATCTCGCTCTATTTTTACATAAAATTATGAAAAACAGCTTTCCAAAAGCTAATAACCATATAGAAAATAGCTATGAACTGATCAACAAAATTCAAGATCTTCATATTGACAATGATTTCAAACTAATATCGTTAGATGTTGTTTCTCTTTTTACGAATATTCCAATCGATCTGGCATTAAAAAGTGTTTCTGATAGATGGCAATATTTGGCTGAGAATTGCGACATTCCGAAATCAGAATTTAAGGCAGGATTAAACTTAGTTTTAATTTAAATTCCTCATTTTTTACTTTTAACAATATTTTTTACCGACAATCATTTGGCACTTCTATGGGATCGCCACTTTCACCTATTATTGCGGATATAGTACTTCAGGACATTGAAAAGCAAGCGCTCAATCTTTTAACATTTACACCACCTATTTATTTTAGATACGTAGATGACGTTATATGTGCTGTTCCATCTCATCAAATTCAACAAACTTTAGACATTTTCAACTCCTTTCACAATAGAATTCAGTTTACATTGGAATATAACAATAATAATAGCCTTGATTTTCTCGATGTCACACTCATTTTAGAAAATAATTCTATTAAGACGGATTGGTACCATAAATCAACTTTCTCTGGTAGATATCTACATTACCTTTCACAACATCCTCCTTGTCAAAAAAGAGGAACAATAATTGGATTGGTTGACAAAGCATTTTTATTATCGCACCCAATTTTCCATAACAAGAACTTAAAGTTGATAATTGATATATTAATTAATAATGGCTACTCTACTAAATTAATTTTTCAAACCATAAACCAACGTTTAAAATTACTGATCAATAAAAACAACATTATTAACAATAGTATTTCCACTCAAAAATCACCTAATTCATACTTTACCATTCCATATTTACCAACTATATCTGAACAATTTAAAAATATCACAAAGAATCTTAATACGAAACTCTCCTACTTCAGTTTAAATAAGTTAAATAAACACATTAAAGTGCATAAAGATAAAGTTCCAATTTTTTCCAATACCAATGTTGTTTATAGAATTGAATGTGCAAACTGTAATGCATCATATGTGGGCCAAACGGGACGTAAATTAAGTATTAGGATTTCGGAACATAAACTTGACATTAATAGAAATACAACAAATAAATCTGTTATAACTAACCATAGGCTCGATTTCAACCACGAATTTAAATGGAATGAAGTAAAAATTCTTGATAAAGAAAATTTCCTCGGAAAAAGATTAATCTCCGAGATAATTTATATTAAAAGACAAACAAATAGTTTGAACTTGCAAACGGACACAGAATGTTTACCTGATACATATATAGACAGTATTGGTAAACTACCGAAACTCTGAAAATAGATACACAAATATAATAAGTTAACACCGCTTATTTTCACCTTTCGATCACTTTGTCTGTGACATTATAAGTGTGCGGATCTCAAGAATCAATGTTCCTACACTACTGTTTTCACGTTGCAATCTAATCATATGTAAGTCTATAAACATCTTCGTTTTCGTACAACCTATTAAGCTTAAATAAATCAATAAATATTTAATAACATTATAGGATTCAAATCATTATGTCGTCTATCGGGTCTAATAACCGGAATAGAAACACAATTTACGAATTTTAACCATCACATTATGACTATGTTGGAGGAATATTGCTTTTCATTTTTACATCATGTTCTCTTTTTCTCTTACGATAATATTTGTCAATCATTATATCTATCATTGTATTTTTAATGCGTTACATACTCTATGACGTTTTTGACTATGCTTAATGTATATATTACCGTTATGACACCGTTTATTAGTTTTTAAATTCAGAATTTAATCAGCGTTGATAATAGTCAAAACATTGACCGAAACGTTCGCTTTGTATTTATATTTAAAGAGTACTTATGTTTAATTATTTTTTGTCACCTTTTATTGTAATTCATTATTAGACATTAGATTAAAGAATATTATTTTTATATATGACTTCGCTTTCTAACATAATTTGAATTTTTATGTTTACTGCTCTTAACAACCTTTTATCAGATTTATTATAATTTAATAAGAGCTTTGACTTACTACGATATAATATTAAAAAACTATATGCTCCAATTAATTTCAAGTAAAGTTTACTATAATAAAATTTTAATTTAAGGTTTAGTTATAAAGATACATGATGGCAAAAATTGGGAACATGATGGAAAAAATTTATTTTTTATGTGATACTATAGAGCAAAGAGTCAGCTTTAAGAATCTATTCCTAAAATTGCTGTACGATAATTTTTAACGGAGTTGATTGATCAAAGTGAAAATGCCATTTCTTTTCAATTTGCGATAACTTGATAAGGAAAAATCAAAATTTCAATTTTAAAAAACAATTTTGCAGGGAAAACTTCAGACTTTAACACGAGAGTGTCAATCAACAACTTTTTTTTTAATTATCTTGTGTATGCGACACGTTTACAAAGTGAGAAGAAACATTTCTATTTCATTATGTTCGTCGTTTTCTGTATGTAAAAAATATTCGAATTGAAAAAAATGAAAAAAGCGCGAAGGTAGAGATTTAAAGCTTTGAAACCTTTTTTTAAATTTTAAATTCTCATTTTTCAAAACAATGCTGTTACAGCTATTTAAAATTTGCCTATTTTTTTGGATAATTTTTTTTAATCCCTTAATTATTTTGAGAAGTGTATATAAGAATCCAAATTAATTTTTTTGTTTTTGATGACCTGAAACTTTTTACATCTATGTAACGCGATCCATTAAGCACTAAGACGTTCCACTTTGCCAATCCACTTTGTCATTTCTTCTTTTTTGACGCAAAGGAGAGGAAGAGAAATATAAGGCGTTGGCTATAAGATTACGAGCTACCATATTTGTGTAAATTTTATTTCTTCATCTTTATCCTTCGAAAGTAAAGTCAATGAAAGAAGAACTTAAGAAAGTTCTTTATTAATTCCCAGCAAACACAGTATATAAATGTTATATACTTAAGCATGTTACATGTAACGTATATGTTAGTTGTAATTTCCCACTTATAGATGTAACATTTTTAATATTACATATATTATATTGTAGTTACATTGTCATTATATCCCAAGATAGCACTGACTTATCAATACATCAATGTGCTATTTGGTATATAATTACAATATAACTACAATGTAATATATGTTATATTAAAATGTTACATCTATGAGTGGAAAATTACAACTAACATGGATGTTACATGTAACGTACACGTTATATTACCTGTTATATTCCGTTTTATTATAGCAATGTAACAATTATATATCGGTGTTTGCTGGGTTCATTCAATCTTTCAATTTTAATTTTTTTTAAATAACTTCAATCTCCCATCTCTCGTAATCCCTAGAATCTCATGTATTTATATGCATCAAATCTTGTACACAATTTTTTATGTACATGCTTGTTAACATACGATGATAGAGCTCTTTCTTAAGGTTAGATATGAAACTACAAAAGTCTCTTTCGTGGAAAAAAATTACTCTACAAAGTCCATCTCGATAAAAGTTAATTTATGCGTAAGTTGTTTTCCTAAGTGCACATATTATAGTAGCCATTTACACTTTATCAACCGTGCAAATTTATCACATTTTTTTACGTGATTAATGTTTCAGCTTATTTCTATTAATATGCTACTTTGCTGTTATCATCATTATCTATTTGCGTTCTTATGATGTTATCCAAAAGCTTTGATATGATGGTTTTTAGTTTCAAAATTTGACGATTTGTTGATGTCATGAAAACATCAAAAAGACATCCTATTGTAGTAATATAGGAACCAAAGCAGTCTAAGAGCCGGAGCACAAACTTATGCATAATGCATAAGAGAATCAACTAATTAGAATCCTTCATTTCTATTTTCAGGATGAAAGTCTTGAAGATTTAGAAAATGAAGGATTCTGATTAATGATTATTTACATTATGTAATTGTCTGTGCTCCGCAATCCTATAAAGCTTTTTTACAATATATGTATAAGAAGATTGAAAATATTACACATTTATCTAGTAAAACATGAAATTTGCAGGGCCAGTGTAAAATCGATCATTTTTTCGTTACTGAGCAACATATGTGATGATATCATGATAAATCAAATTTTCGTCACATGAAAAATCATGACTATTTTGAATCAAAATAAAATTATTTTGACTTTTTCTTGACTTTAGTGTGTTCCTTGGGTATTTCGTCTATATAACTATACCATATAATAGTGAACTATAACATTGTTTTCTTCATGTGTTCCCTACTATATGTAACAGTTACATATTGGTTTGCTGAGTATTATATCTACGAATTTTAGAGAAATGTATATATACAAGATGTTCCAAAAATTACCAGATACCCTCTGTTAAGGAGATTCCTAATAAGATTATTCGGAGACGTTTTTCCTCAGCAAAAATTTTGAGACATTAATAATTTTCGAGTTATAAACGATTGAAAATAAAGTTGTTTGCAATCTAAGTCTTGTGAAATAAAATATTAACAAAATCACATTCTTCAGTTAATTTCAGGTTAAGATTAGATTGCATTAGGTTACCCCAGATGAACAAGTATGCTGAATATATATAGTATGCAAACATTTTATGTATATTTTCTAATGCAATTAGAACAGCATAAAATTACGAATCATTTTAATAAATTTTAATTGTGCATTATGATGTCATTAACATATATTCGTTTATTTTATAAAATAGCAATATGTTTCACTATATAATACTATAAACGCAAAACTGCAATTATTATATTTCTGATGAAATAAGCAGCATATTTTCGCAATTTTACAGCATTAGAAGATCCTTTCACTTGCTGATATACTCATGTCATAGGACGCATTTTTCAATGTTTATGCAGCATTTAAATAAATGAATTTTAAAATTCTGTCATTATGCAGGCAATCTGCTGAAATATGTCTATATGGGTAGGTAGTCAAGAGTTTACTTTAATAGAATTTTAATTTAAGGGTTAGTTACAAAGATATATGATAATAAAAATTGCGAACATGCAAAAAGTGATGACCTCTCTCAACATTTTTGCTGAGGAATGTAATTTTAGGATACATATAATATTATACATATAATATATACATATTATCGATAATTATTATATATATTATATATAATATATAATGATATATATTATATATAATGTATACATATTACCTGCAATTATTATATATTATACATATAAGGTATACATATTACCTTATACATATAATATATTATATACCTACATAAGGATTTAAATATATCATAATTTTGTAATAGCTATGCATAGTATCTAATATTTTATTTCAAAGGAATGACATTGAAAAGCATCTGTGCTCGTTGATATACAATAGTTGTACATGTATTTTATGTTGCCATAATAATTAAAGTTTATTAATTATTGCATAGATACAAAAAAAACTAATTTTGTTAAATAAAAAAATTCTCTTCTGCGACAAAACAGATTTTGCTTGCAGTCACGAACAGTTATAATTAATAGCAAAATCTTACCGCTATTACAATGAATATATAATACTTTTAATAGCAGCAACATTTTACATTTTTTCTCTAACAAGAAAATATTATTCATTTATCTTTGCATTTATCTAAATATGCGTAAAATAACATCAATATCGATACAAACTGTAATTTTGATATCGCATATCTTTTACGATAAGAGGAACACGCATATATCTATAAATATTTATTATTTGCCAAGTTATAAAAGTGAGTGGAGTTGCGTAAGGCAAATCATAACTCGCTCATTTTTCAGTGTTATTCGCCATGAGCCAAGTAGAAGTACGTGTGACTGAAGGGAAATTAATCGGTATCGCCGAGGAAAGTGTCCATAGCGAACATTACATTGCCTTTCGTGGGATACCGTATGCTAAACCTCCAGTGGGTAATCTCAGATTTCAAGTGAGTACAGAAAGTGATCCCAGCGAGAAATGACCCATCAAATCGATGTCTAATTGACGTCGAAATCATCGACATTACATCGTACCAAAATAATGCTCAAAATTTTATGCTTATTTCGAAGTCTGTGCTCTATAACATTTTTAAAGGAAAAGATTATTTGTGACGCGAATTCATCGCCAGATTTTTAAATGTAGCAAATTTACATATTTTTTTTGAGACATCCGATATTGCATTAGTCAATTATCGATATTGATGCTATTTTGATTCATTTCTTTTTTAATCATTTTTTAAAACTATTATTTAAAATGCAAATATAAATGAAAAATTGTTCTATTTCACCAAACTTAGATAATGTAAAGATAATTTTATAATTTAATAATAATTACATGTTGCCACATGAACTTTTTATAGTCCCTTATTTTGACTAACTCAAAAAATTGTATAATAGTAAAATGTCTACTCTTAAGGGAATTCTTCAGCAAATGACGAACTCTGACAAAATAGCAACACATTCAAAACATATGCACGTATACACAACGCACGCACACATACGTACGAATTGTATTTCTAATTACACATTTTTATTAGACTTCTAATCTAAGGATCACAGTGCTGTCTTTTGTGTCCTCTAATTGCAGGAAATGTGCATTTTTATTCGTCCAAAGTGTATTCGCGACTGTGTCGATAAAACAAACAGTCGCGAAGAATCCCCTTAAGGATCCTTTCAATCTTTCTCAATCGTATATTTTCGTACTTCTAGTATATCTTTTTCTTAATATGATGGAATTAAAAATACTTCTGTACAATTGCAATACATGCATCAATAATCCCAGGGAAACTCGATTTGTTATTAAAAATGAGAAATAAACAGTTTTTCTTATTCTATTTTTATCTCGATATAACATCTCGAATTGCAGACAAACTGTTAACCTCATCATATTATGTGCTTTATATAAAACATATACACTTTGTACGAATAAAAATGCACATTCCCTGGGATTAGAGGACACGAAAGAAAGCACTGTCATCCTCTAAACCTAGATTTTAAGTCAGAAATAATCAGTTGAAAAGACGTCGAATCGATATCAATTTGACCAATTCGACATCGATTCGACGTCGATTCAACGTCGATTTAACTATCATTTTTGGCTGGGTTAGAAATCTAATAAAAATTTGTAATTAAAAATATGATTTGTACGTACGTGTGCGTGCGTTATGTATACGTGCATATGTTTTGGATATGTGTGCTGCTATTTTGTCGGAGTTCGTCATTTTCTAAACGATTCTCTTAAGGAGATCCTAAACGATTGGCCAAACTCCGACAGATGCTTTGAGAAGTCTTTTGCTTTTCTTCTTTTTTATCGACAAAATATAAGTTAGATAAAACTATAAATTAATCTATTTATTGGCTATACGGATTGTTTTTTATCTGAAATTAGAACGCCCTTTGTTAATATTAATACTTTAATTTGTACAGGAGAAAGATTTATTAATCTGTATAGTCTCATATTTCTTGATTACAGAATTATGAATTCTTATTCTGTAATCAAGAAATATGAAACTATACAGATTGATAAATCTTTTTCCTGTACAAATTAAAGTATTAATATAAAACAAAAGACAAAGCGTTTTAATTTCAGGTAAAAAACAATCTATATAGCTAGTAAATATATAGATTTATAGTTTATCTGTTTCGAATTATCATTCCATATTGTTATATTTCACGAATTTGCACGATTGTTGGACATGTATCTGTTGGGATGTGCTGGTCGAGACGAGAGATATTGTTTTCCTTTTATATATACATACACGCATCATTGTCTCACTTTGTTTTGGTCCTGTCACGTGAACGAAGGAACGGTCAATCACGTGAACATAAACGGTCTAAATTTCGATCGCGGAATTTCGGGATGTATCGGGGCTTTTCGGATTGACAACAAAGGCCTGCCTGTGCGGCCCGAGAGAAATTCGCACAGGTCACTTGCTAATCTTCATGTCTCGAGAAGCGCATCGCAATACATAGTCGCGCATATTTGTAATAAATCAGTATTATACAAGGATCAAGTGATTCCAGTTTATTTCAATCAACTCTCTCACACATACCATCGCGTCCGTACTGCTGCATTAAATAAAAACTAGAAGCCTGTGCTTCAGCTCGCGTCGCCCGTGGAGATTCAAATTATACCCGGGACTTTACACGCGAGAAAAATCACGAAACATTATTTAACCTCATATTTTTTGATAAAAAAGGAAAAAAAACAAAAAACTTTTCAAAGCATTATCTAACCTCATATTTTTTTTATAAAAAAGGAAAAAATCAAAAAACTTTTCAAAGCATCCGTCGGAGTTCGGCCAACCGTTTATGATCCTCTTAACCCAGATAGCAATGCCTGATGGTCAGATTTCATCACATGTACGTATGTCTTATAATTATATTATGATGATAGGTATCATGAGCACAAGTTACATATATACATATATGTTGGCGCCTAATGGCCTTTTATATCGTCGTCGCCATATGCTCGGTCCTCATATTCCACACAGATGGATATCGCTCGAGTTATTAATTTTAATCAGGATGTGGATTAAAGATTAGTGATATATATATGTATTATGTTCCAGTTAAAAAATGTATTTATTGCGATCCTCTATATATATATATATCGTAGAGTCGTTACAAACGTCGGAGATTTCGCTGTGGTTAACGCCGTCAGAATGATGACTATAATTATGATCTGATCTGCCCTGATCTCTCAAAGATCCACGTATTTATACGCGTTGTCCAAAAAGTATTCCCACCTCAAAGTATAGGACCAATCGGAGCAATTTTCATTTAAACAGCTTAGATCGTCTAGTCTTCACGAAAAACAATAACTTTGGCGAACGAGAGAGATTCGGTTTACGGTCGCACAAATAAATAAAAATGTAACAACACATTAAATTAAACCGGTCGAAGGACAAGTAAACGAAAATATAAATAAAATAAATCAACGTCTCTCTCGTTTTCCTTTCTCTTATACACGGCTAAAATAAAATATATAAAAATGCCTACATATATGAAGAAAAATGTGAGCTCAGATATTGACATTACTTTATTAACTCGTGTTTTGAGTAGTATATGAATCTGCATCTATTTTTGTCATCATGTTTATAAGAAATATGAGTACAATATGAGTACAGAATGCATATGTTATCTGGATAATATTTATCCACTATTTTAAAAAATTATAATTAATTATTATGTTTAACAAATTGAAATAAACAACGAATTAAATATTAATTGGATAAGAAATATATGTCGGCTCTCAATATTAATAATAATAATAATATATAAATTTTAAATCGGCCAATAGAGCCCAAGCGCGAAAAATTAATTCTTCGGAACTGTATCTCTTGGTTTGAGATTACTAAGTTCCATATATAAATTAATCTTGAACTTACATATGGAGAAAAATAGGCGAAAAAAATATAGGTCTAAAAAATCGCTGAAGCGGGAATCGAACCCGCGTCTTTCACTTTCCGGGCGACTGCTCTTACCAACTAAGCTATTCAGACCCTTTCGATCCTATATTTTTCATTTGTCTTTTAGTAGATGTTAGTAAATAACGCCATGATTAGGCCCAGGCGTAAATAAAATCAGATAAGAAGTATATGTCGGCTCTCAATATTAATAATAATAATAATGTATGAATTTTAAATCGGCCAATAGAGCTCAAGCGCGAAAAATTAATTCTTCGGAACTGTATCTTTTGGTTTGAGATTACTAAGTTCCAAATATAAATTAATCTTTTTCTCGCCTATTTTTCTCCATATGTAAGTTCGAGATTAATTTATATATGGAACTTAGTAATCTCAAACCAAGAGATACAGTTCCGAAGAATTAATTTTTCGCGCTTGGGCTCTATTGGCCGATTTAAAATTCATATATTAATATTAATTAATATTAGTATTTATATTTATCAATATAAATAAAAATTTGACTACAAAAAAATATTAAGAATAAAAGTTAATTTTATATATGATTATAATTTATATATCTTTTGTTATTCGTATTATGCGAATCGTATTATAAATCAATATATACAAATGTTGGCTGAATTGCATTTACTAACAAAACGACAATTTTTAATGTATTTTACGAATAGTATTGACACTTGTCAGTGGTATTAAACACAGTGAAATGTAAATAAATTATAATTTATCTTAATGTATAATAATACAAGAAAAAGATTTATATTTTTTGCAATGTCTGTCGCAAAAAATCGATTTTCGATTGCTGTTTAGCGTGCGGAAAATGACTTACTTCTCAACGATTCAATGTATGCCTTACTTTTTATCACACTAGTGTGAGAAAAGCACCTTTATGATTTACTTTACTGCACTAGTACAATAATATAAGTTACTATGGTTACTTTACTGCACTATAGTGCGTAAAAAAATCTTCTTTCTTCAATTAATTGGTTGATTTTTGTTTTACCATTTCTCGATTAACATAACAAATTTGAACGTAACAAAATTCACGCGAGATAAAACGTCAATTTGTTATAATCTTCATTATTCAAGAAGGATTAAATGGATATAAAAGAAACGAGTGTTCAAGACCGTTCACGCCATTAAAACGTATAGAAGCAGCTGAATCTGCCACAAAGACTTTATTACCGATAAAATCGAGAGATAAGTACATGAGTAAAAGCATCTCAAATCGAACTTTCGCAATAGGCATTACAAAATATATTGTATGTGGCATGTGCAGAATACATCGCGCGTAAAGTTGCCGCATTCACCTTAGCTTATGATGCATTCACATGAGTACAAGTGTGATTTGCAGCACGAGCCAAAGGCGAGTGCTGTAATCATACGAGTACGATTTATAAGCCTTCGGCTCATGCGGCAACTTCACGCGCAACATAATTTGTTATTTTCCGCACTTACCACATAAGAAAGATACTATTCTTACTTCTTAATTAAATATATAATTATTATTATAATGAGAAAAAATAATTAATATTGAGTCGAAATCGACGTATTTTGAGTCGATAACTCATCGAAAGTTGTGACTTGTGACATAAATCAATCGAAATCCATGATATATCATGTAGTTTTCGATATATGTTTTCAACGTTGATTCGATATCAATTTGATAAGTCATTTCTCGTTGAGATTATTAATACTATTATCTTCATTAAAATTGACCAACAATATAAACTGATCATGACTCATTGAATAATTTTACAAAATTGTAAAATATAAAAGATACTTATCTCTGACTAACAACAAAGATTTTCAAGACATCTAAAGTTTCTATTAGTCAATTTGCTGAAGATGATCCAAAGAAATGTTCAAAATAATGAGAGAAGAATTAGAAACAAGTTTGTATTACATTTAATACGTTTGCATTTATCTCTTATAACTTTTGAAAGGGTTAATAAGAGTCTTATTAACCCCTTTCATACCTCCTTTTGTATTTGCATGTATATCTATTGTTACAGGTGTTTGATGTAATTTACTGATGAATTTTACATATTTATTGCAGGATCCGGTACCACCGGAACCATGGTCTGGCGACAGAGATGCTTCGAAGGACAGAAACATCGCTGTTCAGGTGAATATTTTCACGAACAAAGTCATGGGCGACGAAGATTGTCTCTATTTGAATGTGTACACCACGGACATAGCGCCTTTAAAGAAACGCGCTGTGATGGTATGGATACATGGTGGTGGCTTTTTTATGGGATCTGGCGACGCGTCTTTCTACGGTCCCGATCATATCGTTCGGAAGGATGTGGTACTCGTTACCCTGAATTATAGATTAGGTGTTTTAGGTACATTATTATAGTTAGATCGAAATTATTTTGTTACTTGCGTTCGATGATCTATTTTTTTCTTCAAAATAAACATGTACACACGCATTTTTATTTTCCACAATCCAAATAATTTACGTGATATATATGATTTGTTTTCTAAAAAAGAAATACCAATTTTAAAAAATAACCAATTTTCATAACTTTTTTCATAATTTTGTTTTCTTAAAAGAAATGAATTTTAATAAAAAATCTTATTTATCTTATCAAGAAAGCTATTACACACGTTTTATTGTTAAATTATAAGTAATTAAAAAATCTCGGTAAAATCAATTTAACTGCTGAAATTTTTAAATATATTTGTTTAATTCGTATAAATAAACTTTATTAAACGTATTAGAGACGTGTCTCTTCCATTCTCTCTTTAGGTTTTCTCAATTTATATAATAAACTGGCGACGGGAAATCAGGCCTTAAAAGACGTAGTTATGGCGTTAAGATGGACTCAAAAAAATATATCGCAATTTGGTGGAGATCCCGATAACGTCACAATTTTTGGTGAAAGTGCGGGTGCAGCGATTGTTCACTATCTGACTATTTCGCCATTAGCTAAAGGTACGAATCTAAAGAATAGTTAATATTGATATATTAGGAATATGTTAAGAATATTGAAGAACACATTATATATATTATATAAAAACAAAAATGATATGCTACATTCAGTGACCAATCGATATTTTTTCAACAAAATTATTTAAACATTACTATTTTAGAATAAAAGGCTCTTTGCAAATCTGGCATTGCAAATAGAGCAGTAAATCAGTTAATTTCAAGTAAACTTTGCTATAGCAAACATTTTTAATTTAAAGGTTTTTTAATTTTAATTTAAATCTCGATTGCAAACTGTTGTATAATGTTGCACTTTATAAAAACGTCATCGAAAATTACGTAGAAGATAACTGCTAACATATCTAATCTTATCATACTGATAATTTATACATTACGTTAATAATAAAAATTGATTTCAATAAATTGATAATTGAAAATTAAAAACACGCTGATTAAGTTATTTTATATTGAGTCAAAATGGAGAAAAGCAAAGCTATATATATTTGAGTCCATATATATATATACCATATATACAAGGTGTCCGGTAACTAACGGACCAACGATTACAAATGAATTCTTTGGCCAATTTGGAAACGATTTTTCCTCAGCAAAAATGTCGAAAAAGGTCATCATTTTTTACAACTTTCCAATATTTGTCATTATGTATCTTTATAACTAAGCCTCAAATTAAAATTTTATTGACCTAAAATTAACTGAAGAATGTAATTATGTTAGACTTTTAACTCCAAAACGTTTAGTTTTCAAAAACCCATTTTTTCAATAGCTTATAACTCGAAAATTATTGACTTCTCAACATTTTTGCTAAGGAAAAATTGTCTCCAAATTGGCCAGAGAATCCGCCCTTAATCATTGGTCCGTTAGTTATCGGACACCCTGTATATATATAGCTTTGCTTTTCTCCACTTTGACTCAATTATAAATATATTTATTATAATATATATATTAAATATATTTAATATATTAAATATATATATATATATATTAATATATATATATATATATATATATATATATATCAGGGTTGGGAAAGTTACTTTGTAAAAATAATTAGTTACAGTTACAGTTATTTTATTGAAAAAGTAACTAGTTACAGTTACAAGTTACTGATTTTAAAAATAACTCATTACAGTTACAGTTACTCAAAAAGTAACGAGTCGTTACTTTTCAGTTACTTTTTAAAAATAATTATACATTATTTTAAATATAAGGAGCTTACATTTTATGCACAATCACAGTCAAGTATTTAAAAAAATTCTTGAAGCAAATCGATCAATTATTACATTTAAGAATTTTTTTAAATATTTGACTGTGATTGGTCGATTTTAATTATGTGTTATATTATTTTATGTACACAAAATGAAAATTTTAGGTAAAAGATTAAATCATATGAAGATCTATATGCTACTGTTAACAAAATTTAATTTAACAATATAACGGCTACCAAACTTAAACGATACTTTTAGCGGATGTTTCCAAAAAAAGTAACTAATAAAGTAACTGTTAAAATAGTTACTAGTTACTAAAAAATGTAACTAAGTTACAGTTACAGTTACAGATGGAGAAAAGTAACGAAGTTAAGTTACAGTTACCGAAAAAAAAGTAACTGTAACTTCGTTACAAGTAACTCGTTACTTCCCAACCCTGATATATATATATATATATATATATATATATATATATATAGTATAAATGTAATATAGAGTCATTGCAAAAAGAAACTGAAAAGTAATGATTCGTTACTTTTTGAGTTATTAGAACTGTAACTACGTATTTTTTCAGTGAAAAGAATTATATAACTATAACTAGATACTTTTACAAAATAACTTTCTTAAGCCTGTATAATTGGCACTTGAAAAAGTTTAATATGATTTTATCATGAGATTTCTCTCTCTCTCTCTCTCTCTCTCTCTATATATATATATATATATATATATATATCACTCAATACTATTATATTATGTGTAAATGTGTGCTTAACAGGTTTATTTCATAAAGCAATATGTCAAAGTGGCGCCGTGAATAATACTTGGGCTTTCACTGAACGAGACACTTCCATCAATAAGGGTCTGCAGTTAGCCGAGAAACTTGGTAAAGCGACTTCAGATACAGAAGTCGCCTGCAAATTTTTAAAAGAGATAGACGCAGGAAAATTGAGAGAAGCAGAAGTGCAGCTCTTTTTGACAAAAGCAGTAAATATTGCAACGTTCTCCCAGAAAATATTTTGCATGCAAATACCTAGCCATTGGATGCAAAAGCGGTTTATACTGTGCAAGCAAAACCTTATCTTAGTGCCTCGTCATAGTGATATGTAGCAAATGCTAGCACGTTATAAGCATGCAAGATGAGCACTATTTAACAAGCATATTGCTGTCACTATCACATCACTGGCATATTTTTTAATTTGACATCCATTCGCACGTGATTTGCTGGTGTATCAAATAATACATAAGCTAAACATTTGCGTGTAATATGTACGACTAAACATATTCCACATGCAAAACTCAGGCAAATCTCGTACACGGTTTATATGCATAAGACGCGCAAATTTTGCACTCAAAAATTGTTATTTGGGCTATTGCGATTATTGCAATAATAATGTTTGATGAATTATAATAAATTATAAATTTAAAGATATAAGACAGGCAGTAAGAGCCAACTCGCGGATGACAGTGCGTTATCCTAACGAAACTAAATTTTTCGTTAGGATTAAGTATCTGTGCACAAGGCACTAAATTTTACTTGGTCACGGCCAAGATTTAAAATATGAAATAATCTCATATTTGAGATTTAATTTCAATAACCCTTTCACCCCCCTACGGAAATAAGTAAACGCAAGAGAAAAATATAGATCCGAAAGTCGCTGAATCGGGAATCGAACCCGAGACCTTTCGCTTGCCGGGCGACTGCTCTTCCAACTGAGCTATTCAGATCCTTTCGATTCTATACTTTTCTCTGCTATATGTGTTATTTCATATTTTAAATTTTGGCCGTGACCAAGTAAAATTTAGTGCCTTGTGCACAGATACTTAATCCTAACGAAAAATTTAGTTTCGTTAGGATAACGCAGTGTCATCCGCGAGTTGGCTCTTACTGCCTGTCTTATATCTTTAAATTTATATTTATATTACAGAGCCTTGTTAAACTCTTAATTTATACACGCTGGCTTAAAACGCGTTTGTTTATCAACATTATTACATATAGCAGAGAAAAGTATAGAATCGAAAGGATCTGAATAGCTCAGTTGGAAGAGCAGTCGCCCGGCAAGCGAAAGGTCTCGGGTTCGATTCCCGATTCAGCGACTTTCGGATCTATATTTTTCTCTTGCATTTACTTATTTCCGTAGGAGGGTGAAAGGGTTATTGAAATTAAATCTCAAATATGAGATTATTTCATATTTTAAATCTTGGCCGTGACCAAGTAAAATTTAGTGCCTTGTGCACAGATACTTAATCCTAACGAAAAATTTAGTTTCGTTAGGATAACGCACTGTCATCCGCGAGTTGGCTCTTACTGCCTGTCTTATATCTTTAAATTTATATTTATATTACAGAGCCTTGTTAAACTCTTAATATAATAAATTATTTTTTAAGAAATATATGTCGGCTCTTAATATTATTAATAATAAAATTTTTCTTTTAAAAATTTTTAAAAATTTATAAATTATTTTTTATATATTATTTAAAAAAAATATATATATATATAATCTTTTTGCAGGCTCGCTTAAATCTTTCGATTTCATTTACACCTACTGTAGATTCCGAGTCATCGAATCCTTTTTTACCAGTAGAACCATCACAATTATTACGCAATGGAATTAAAATGCCACTTATATTCGGATACACTAGCCACGAAGGCACTTTTTTCATAAGAGGCAAATTTTTTGGTTGTAAGTATATATATGTGCTTTTGCTTTTTATTATTACACAGTATTATTAGTGTATCAATCACTGTTCCATAAAATTTTTCATAAAAAGGCGATTTGCGATATTTTAAAAATATTTTGATATATGTACAATGTTATAATAAATTTGATCAATATCAATAATTTTCAAGATCTTATCAATCAAGTATTAAATGCACAGAGAATCATTATTTATCAAATTGTTTTGTTTTAAAATAATAGAGCTACATATTTATTTAAAATCGTTCTAGATATAAATCAAGAGACTCTAAAGGAAGTTGATTTTGATTTCAAGAAAATCATACATCCTAGAATTTTGTCTCAATTACCACAAATATCGATATCGGAATTACGATCGTTATATTTTGGTAATAAAGCGGTGTCAGAGGAAACTATAATGAATTATTCTGATTTTATCGGCGATCAGCATTTCTATGGAGGCATTATAGAAGCAATTAATATTCAAATGAGTTCTGGTGTTAACGAGCCGATCTACTTGTACAATTTTTCATATGAAAGTGAAACTTCTCCTATGAAAAACATACTTGATATTCAACTTCCAGGTATTGTGTCGTTAATTATTTATTAATGTAGGGCTATGTAAGAATTGGATTTTAATCTTAGAGTTAGAGAAGAGTTAGAGAAGTGAGCTCATAAAGTAAAATTAAATGTCTTTAAATTTCTATATAATTGAAAGAAGACAAACATAGTACTGGAAAATTTGATTAAGAAGAATTTGAACAACATTAAATATAAATTTAGATTGCACTTCTGTAATGTGTTGGAAAAACTATCAACTTTTGAGATTAATTTACATAACAAATTTCGCAGGCACAGCTCACATCGAGGAACTGGGTTACTTATTTTATCCTTATATGACAAAAGATTTAGGTTTGTCACCAGCTGCACCAGAGTCGCAAGATTATAGAATAATAAATTACATAACGCAGCTGTGGACAGATTTTGCTAAAACGGGGTATCATACTCTTGATATTTCTTACAAATATTATTTGTAACCCATAGTACAATCGCGTAATAATAATTAGATACATTTATTGCAGAAATCCAACACCAACTTCAGCTGATTGTAAATGGACACCAGTGAAAAATGGTAATGCGTATGATGGTTTAAATATTACTATTAAACCTCGAATGGAGACGCTTACTAAAGATAAACCAAAATGGGATTGGAAGATTAAATATAAATTATGATCGTACTGGCAAATATTATTTATTCAATCACAATGTTTCGACCCTTCTTTGAGTCCTTATCAAGTGATCTAGATATACATAGACAGAGATTAATACAATAACAAACAAAATTACTTTACTAACAATTTTACAAACATTACAAAATGATAAAATGAAGCGAAACATACTTGTAAAAATAAAAATAAAATTATAATTTTAAGATGTCAAGAACAAACATAATGTCGGTTTGACAACACGTCAAGACTCTTAGACGAGTTACTGGAGACTAAACGACTTTATTATTTTGTCGTAGATATTACTTAGATTGTCGGTATCCTTTTGCAAATTAATAGCGTTATTATTATTCTTAATAAAAAACATTTCAGCGATTTCTCTTTTTCTTACGTGTTTTTCACTATGCAAAATAACAGGCGAAGTCCAGTCAAAATCGTGATCAAATTCAATTTTATGTTTGCTGATAACTGATAAATTACTCGAATGCATTTTGATGTTGCTGAAATGTTCTTTTACACGTGTACATAAATGTCTCTTTGTTTGTCCGATGTATGACACGTTGCAATCATTACAATTAATTTTGTAAACTACTTTAGTCTTTTTATCTGTAGGCAGTCTATCCTTGCCGAGTGTAATTAAATGATTTGGTTTTTAGGAACATTATGAACAACATTAAATCCAATATTTTTAAAAATTCGATCGATATCGCCTAAGCTATTAACATAAGGTAGTGAAATGATTTGTTTTTTATTGTATTAATCTCTGTCTATGTATATCTAGATTACTTGATAAGGACTCAAAGAAGAGTCGAAACGTTGTGATTGAATAAATAATATTTGCCAGTATGGTCGAGAGAAGATCCTTATCTTTTTTAAATTCTGTCTGGCGATTCTCAAATATCTACGTTTTTATAAATTATGATGTTTTTCACCAAAAAATACCTGCGTTAAAATTTTTTTTTAAAGAGCATTGTGTCATTAATTAGTCAGATATAAATATGTGTACATATATTGTTTTCTAAATATATTTTATTTATAAAATTTATTCATAGCAAACGACACAAGCGCGCCCTGTGTGTGCGCCATTCTTTGTGTTTTTATTTAATAATTTTAATTACTTTTATTTAATTTTATGTTAAACAACTGTCATTAAAGAATATCTACGAAAATAATTCTGAATCTTGAAACTGGCACACACTATCATCTATGTTCGTATTATACCTTTGACATTTACATATGAATCACATTATGAGATAAATATATTAAAGTCTTCATTGTAAGTAATATAAAAAAATTAAATAGGGGGAAGGTAGAAATATGTTTTTTAATGTTCATGAAAATATTTAATAAAATTAGATTGATTTTTAGTTTGATGAGTATACATGTATAATAATATATTATTTCTCAAATATATTACAAATATAATACACATTACAAATAAAATATTACACATATTTTACATATATATATATATATATATATATATATATATAAGCAGCGTCCACATAACGCACTTTATTTCGTGTTTGTTTATTTCAATATACAGGATGTCCGGTAACTAACGGACCAATGATTAAGGGCGGATTCTCTGGCCAATTTGGAGACAATTTTTTCTTAGCAAAAATGTTGAGAAGTCAATAATTTTCGAGTTATAAGCGATTGAAAAAAATAGGTTTTTTGAAAACTAAACGGTTTGGAGTTAAAAGTCTAACATAATTACATTTTTCAGTTAATTTCAGGTCAATAAAATTTTAATTTGAGGCTTAGTTATAAAGATATATAATGACAAATATTAGAAAGTTGTAAAAAATGATGACCTTTTTCGACATTTTCGCTGAGGAAAAATAGTTCCCAAATTGGCCAAAGGATGCATTTGTGATCGTTGGTCCGTTAGTTACCGGACACTCTGTATTAACTATCTATTTTCTGATGTTAATGCTATACTTTTGGTGGCTATCTGGGTTTGTCCGGAAAGTAATGCGTCGCATTTTTTTGTGACGCGACTATACATCGCAGAGCGATGGGACCGGTTGGGGAGGAAGGGGGGTACCCTTAGCTTTCCAACGGTAGGTCGCTCAATTGTTTCCATGCGCTTGGAGGGTTAGGACGGCTTATTCTGTGAACCTCTGCTTAGTGGTCGCGTCGAACTTGTGATGGAGAGAACGATAGAGCAACGCTATGCGATAAAGTTTTGCGTGAAGCTGGACAAGACGCCGCTGGAAACTTTTGAAATGCTCAAGAAAGTTTTCGGGGACGATTGCCTTTCCAAATCGCAGTCAAACAGATGGCACAAGATGTTTAGAGAAGGTCGGAAGGAGGTCGCCGACGAGGCCCGCGCAGGACGCCCGTCAACATCGCGAACGGACGACAATGTGACTCGTGTGCGCCAATTATTGAATTCAGACCGTCGAATGAATGTTCGCTTAATGTCGGAATTATTGAACTTGCCGAAAACGATTGTTCACGAGATTGTATCGGAAGACTTGGCCATGCGGAAGATTTGCGCAAAACTTGTGCCCAGAGTGTTGACCGATGCGCAAAAGCAACACCGAGTGGAAGTTTGTGAAGAACTCAAGCAACTCTGTGCAGATAATCCCAATTTCTTTTTTTTATTTCCTCGGCTGAAAAGGGAGCTCAAAGGACAACAGCTCGAGTCGGTTGACAACGTACAAGCTACTTCGACGGCCTCCCTGAACAGCATCCCAGTCAAGGAGTTCCAGAAATCTTATGACGCATGGAAATCGCGTTGGCAAAAATGTATTGACGCAGAAGGGTCATACTTCGAACAATTTTAAGTTGTTTTACCTATGCGATCAATAAATTCTTTTTTAAAAAAATGCGACGCATTACTTTCCGGACAAACCCTGTACTTTATTGTGAAGACATTCAATTAATATTTTATACTACTCTTGTAAATTTTTTGCTTAAACAATTCGTTTTTATAATCTTGATAGCACGTAAATTTTGCACTTTCTTTCTCTTATATTATATTTAATTTACATTTTATTATTTTTTTCATCTATTATTTTTCTTTTATGTCTTTTTTTATAATTTTGTTACCGACGAAGTATAAAAATGGAAAAGATTAAACTTTTATTAATATAAAACGAAATATTTTTATTTAGCTTTACTCTGTCGATTTAATAATATTATGACTACCCTTAATCAACTACAAAAAATGTTCTCTCTACTTTTTTTTATAAAACTCGGTCTACTAATAGAACAATTTTTGCTACTATATTTCTTAAAAAATAACTGCATTTTTTAGCTGGTCATAATGTACTTTCCAAAATAAATTTATAAATTAAGTTGTAAATTGTTTATACTATTGATTCTAATAAATATTCTACTATTTTTTTTTGATGAAATGTTTCTCGCGCTTCAACGTTATTGCGCTTCAAATATTGTTCTAACTTCCATGTCTCCTTTTTAATTCTTATATTATTGTCTTCTTATAGCAGCATTATCCGAAAAAGATAAGCCAGCATTTCATTTGGTTCGTAATACGTGCCTACAAATTTACAAAATAGCGACCTATTTCGCTATTATCGATCCTTCCCGACGTGATTTTAATTATGTGGTCTGAAATAAAATGTAAATAAAAAATATATATTTGTGATAACTAACAATAAGATAAAGTAATAAAATAATTTTAAATTAAAAAATAATTATAATTTATACAAAAATAATTTATAAAATTAACAAAATTAACAAAGGATACGCATAAAAAAAAAGAAAAAAATAAAATAAGTGTACACAAAAAACTTCTAACGTAAACAAACATAATTTTAAATAAAAATTTGTTTAACGATATTTACTTTCACTCACGTAACACATTCTACGTTCAATAAGAATCACGTAATTTATTTGTCTACTCTCATAAGTAGGAGAATTGTCTTTCAATTGCATTGCACACAAAACATATTTATTGCGATTAGAAATTAAAGATGCAGCATTATGTCGGTGCCATGCGATTATCACGCCGGTACAATTATCTATACAATGTTTTACGATCATTCCAACTGTATATTTTGCGTCTTTTTTTTGTATTCCTGCGTACTGGTTTAGTTAAGCGCAGCTTGAACTAAAAAATGTAAGATCAAACTTTCATTGATTTTTCTTGTCTTTCTTTCTTAAATTCTAATAGCAAGATATACTACAGCTGTTTAAATTATAGATAATTATTATTTGTACATAATTGTACATCGTACGTGTAAACAAAAAATAAAAATAGAGATTCACTATTTTTTATTATTATGTCACTTTATATAATATGTATACGGCATGTTTATTGTGCTTAAATATCCTACATCTTATCATACGATCTTCATAATCATTTAAAGACGTCTTGAAAAGAATACTAAGTAAACCATCACTCATCCAATCCCCATGCTCTAATCTAGATCTTATGTTACACCATACCTAAAAACGATTAAACACAATTAAACACGAGCAAAAAGTAAATATAAACGAAACATTGATTCTTGAATAAAAATTAATTAGTTATAATATAATTATATGTAATTCTTTTTCACTATATGTATATTAAATGTATTTTATTGATTTATATAAAGTTGCAAATACATTAATTATAGTGTTAAAATTGATAAAAATAATATATTAGTAATTGATAATCTTTTTAGGTTCCATCTTATAACGTTCATTAGAATCTGAAAATTGTCTCGTGTAATCTGTTGGTTCAAGCATAAAAAAAACCATTACGCTGTATGCTGAAACTTCTTGCATTTTCTAAACCCCTCGTAGCACTGTGAATAATATAAAATTATATACGTGTGTGTGTAAGATAAAGGTAATTTCAAAAAGTTCAAACAAAATTTTACATTTAGTATTATATATACTTACTATTTCGGTTTCCAAAATATGCAATACATGTAAAAGTTCGGTCTTGTTATATCGCAACGTAGACCTAGTCTTCTGGCCACGCTTTGATATATTATTAATATAATTAAATTTTGGCCCATTTTAGTTCTCAATACCTATTTCAGAAATTACAGTAAAAGTATTTTCAATGTGTAACAG